GAGGTCCCGTGTCGCAGTAGGTGCTGGCACGAAAAAGATCCCTCACTGCTCAATGGCCGTAAGTGCCGAGTATAGGACAAAATTTGCAGCTCTCCACCGGCAAGTGGTGGCGTCTCCATATGGGTGAAAAATTCTCGAGAGGGACCTTAAAGAACATACAAACAAACAAAACCAGTAGATATCTGTCTATAACGAATTGTGTTGTGCAAAGTGCGGTAACTCGATCTTTTTTGAAGTAATTACTTGAGCCAGAGAATTTGTAAACCTATGTTTATTATATTCCTTGGTGAAAATTATCAGGTTATTACCTTAAAAAAAGAATAAAACTAAAAAAAAACCATTCATTTACTTTTATACATGTATCACTCAAACGCACAAATATTGACTTACTGTTCTACAATTTATTTTATTGCCGCATGACTGCAATATTACGACTCGGCGAAGTTGAGGATAGCATCTAACGTTAATAACCATAAAATGAGGTACTAGCGGTGTTAATATTTTAACATTTAATGTATTTTTTTTTATATAATAATGAATGAAAAATGTGAAGAACAGTGGCCAATCTCATATATCTTATAAACATAACAAATCCTGAACAGGGAAAACACAGATCCCTGGAAACGTTGGAGGTGGTAACAGGTGCCTTGCTAGACAGAATTATAGTCCACTGTAGACCCGTCACAAACGCTATGAGCCTTATGTATTTATCAGGCAAAAGGAATAATCCGTAGACAAAATTAGCTTACAAACAATGCCCAAATATTTGGATCGAAACATGCCAGTCCAAAGAACGACCAAAAGAACGGTTGTTTTTGCAAATAAAGTCATAATAACGAACATAGAATTCGCGAAATACTGACTTGAAACAAGATGTTTGAAAGCACTTTAACATCAATTTATATTTCAACAGTCTGTATCGGTTTAAAAATTTAACGCATTTACGGTGTAGTACACATAAACACCACATATAGGTGATAATGGATTAAAAGAACATAAATGGCGGAGGTTGAAAAACTGAGGTCATCCAATTTGTCAAATAGTCAAAATTAGAATGAAAATATTGAAACGTATTAGTAGAAATTCGACGCAATAATTGACTGTATTTTCAAACAATGTCTCTAATTATGACGAGCATATAAATCGCGAAATGCTGACCATAAACGATACTAATTAAAGCACTGTAACATCAACTTATTTATTATAAGCCCGTCTTGCTTTAAAATACACCGTATTAAAAGCATTCTCTTGCGTACCGAATCGATTTGGAGATATAAACACCATGTACAGGTGACGATGGAATATGACACTAAAATAAGGAAAGATGAGGATGGATGATCTGATTCATCCTGTGTGTGTGTGTTTTTGTGGGTTTTTTCAAAAATGCGTGTATTCAGTAAAATGTCAAAATATGAAAGAGATGTGGCAGATCCTCTGGTGCCTATTATATAACAAGTCAATATATGACTAGAAGTGAATATTTATTGCTATCGTCAATGAAATATAAAGATAATGAACAGTATTGAAACTCAAAGTCCATTGTAACAATACAATCGGGAACAGAGCAAACACGGACCTCCACAAACATCAGAGGTGGGATCAGGTGCCATGAAGGAGTGAGCATCCCCTGCCGACCGGTCACACCCGTCGTGTGCTCTTTGTCATGATCGGGAAATAACGGGAAAATCCGTCGACAATTCAGTGTGAAAATAATAGCCTTACAATTAGTATGAAAAACGTCAGTCGGCATATGACTTAATGATAGATTGTATATGATAATAAGGTCATTGTATCGACCATAGAACTTACAAAATGGTGACTGTTGAAATTCTTGTTTCATTATCTTGATTGTCAATAACTTACCTCGTTTTAGAAATTGTTCATACGTAGAGCATGCTCTTGCGGATCGAATCAACTGAGAGATATACACCCCGCAGGTGATAAGGGTATATTGCTGCATAAGTAAGGGACGTTGACGATTGAAAAGTTAAAGTCATCACGTTTATCATAAGTTTTGTTGTTAGGTTACCATTAACGTCTTTTTCTAGTAAAATATCCAAATATGAAACAGATGTATCAGACTCTGTGGTATCTTTTATTTCAAGCTCACTGGGATATATCGTGTCGACATATGAATGGAAATAACTATTGTTAATTGATAATATGTCGGCGATATATCTAAATGTCGAGTTGAAGGCCACAGCAAGAGATTTCTTTTTTTCATGTATAAGATTTTGAATAAATTCTGCTTCATATGAATACAAAAATGGGTCTGCTAACAACGGGGTGCAATGTTCTACCCATGGGAATTCCAACTGTTACAGATTGCTGGAAGACCTGGTCTCCAGAAACCTCATAGATATTGTCATTCAGAAACTCAAGCATCTTTTTAATGTCAACTTCAGATTACTTGTGAGTACAATCAGAATGTTTTTAAACAAAATTTTGCAGATGGCCGATGACAAAGTAAGTAATTTTTTTTTATTAAAAAAGCAGCTTTTAATGATACAAAAAGCCTGCACTTTAATTCATTGTGGGGAATGGTTGTTTACAGAGTTGACAAGTCGTAAGTTTTTATGTTATTGATTTAGATAAAATTTTGTGATTTCAAATGTTCCAAAAGTTCCTAGGAATTTTTTAGTATCCACATCTGATTTACACAACTTACCATCCACGGTATGTTTCACTGATTTTTGGAAGTCCTGGTCTCCATAGACAACTCACATTTTGTCAAAGAACATCTTTTTTAAACCAGAGTACTTGTCTTCAGAATCAGATTGATTGTTAACAAAGTAATTTTGTTGATGTCCTTTTAAAAAATACGAAAAAAAATCATTTTTAAAAAAGAAGTTGTCTATTAAGTCAAAAAGCTTGGTCTTTAATTTTTGGTAGGAACGATTTATTAAATGTCGAGAAAAATCCAGTTTTGATACTATAGATTTTTTCGGTGTGGGCGGATTTCAAATTTTCTAAACTTTTTTTCGGAGTTTTTGAGAATCTGCATTTGATTTATACCTCTTATTTTTTTTAAAATATACCTTGGTATTACATCTGAAATTTCTCGATGTAGTATTTATGTAGTAAAGGACAAAGGTAAGGGCTCCATAAAACATTAACTGGACCTTGTTTGTAAAGATTTCCATAAGTTTTGGAATCCAGTATAGTTCGTTAACGAAAATTCACTTCTGTATAATGGGATGTTAGAAGTATTTAAACTAAAACGTCAATTTGAAGAATTTTATCATTTGAAAAGTAAATACATATATAAGGATAATTTGTATTTCTAGATCTGTAAGCATTTGAAATGTCGGGTCTTCCTAAATTGTGGTTTTGAAATGACTGCTTTCAGGTAGTAGTTACCAGTTACTATATGTGTCCATCGGGACTATAGTTGAACATGCACTTTAGATGAATTTGTCTTAAATAGTTAATAGCTAGGCACTGTAAAGTTTGTCCATGAAAAGTTGTATTTGGATGCAACAGTTGAGGAATATCTTTTGAAAGTATAGGATGCAGGCTTCAACCTAAATATCGTGAAATACAAGATTGAACTTTTTAATGATAAACAAAAACAGAGAAAAATCAGCTGAACATGTGCCCTCGGTGTACGTTATGATTTACCGAAAGACACTTTAATAACTGTGGCTGTGTATGAATTCGTGTAATGAAGGGGTTGGCATTGAAATAAAAATAACAAACATAATCCTCGTTACCACCGCCCACCATCCCCCCGATTTCTTCTGACTTTCAAACAATATGAAAAACATAATTGATAAAAAAAAAATTAGGTAACATCATCTAGAACTCTAGAAAGACTCTTGGTTAGTGAGGATTCTTCTACCTTAATGAATTATTTACTACTTTAACACTCACAATGAAACATTTTTTTCAATCACTGATGCTTTAACATGTGTTTTTTTATACACACAAAAAATGGATAACAAAGATAATAATGACATCTAATGTGTAATGCGTATTCTTTCATAGTTAAAACAATTTTCTTCAACAACTAATTGCCGCGTAAGTTAGACTCGACATAAACCTTAATCAAATATTCGAAGCTTTCTAACAGAAATCGTTTACTTAAAAAGCTTTTAATGACTAAAATGTTAGATACATATTTATGTGAACTTTAATCTTATTCCTGTAATAAAATTAACTATTGGGAACCACTTTATGTTGCATAAGTTTCGATTGCGGAAGTGTTTGATGATAAACTCTGGCATGCCGCTTTAAAGGTCCTAATATGCAATGCAGTGCAACTCAGACGTCTGTTAATCACTTTCTCTGAATAATGTATCGATCGGGATAGTCCTAAGAGTAATTAGTCTGCTTATAAGGTCGAAGTCTGCATTCCCTCGCTCTATATGCATGCTTATCTTTAAAGTCCTTATGCAATTTATTCATTTAGAAAGCACTTAATTTATTATTAACATTGTTGCACTGAATTAAGACTAATGTCTTCGCATCTACATGCATGCTTATACTTTCAAATACTTAATTATTAATTCAAAAGTATTTATTATCAACAAAATGGCACTAAATTAAGATAAATAAATTCCTTTGGGGGTACATGGTGATAATAATCGCATTGTAGTGACTGGCGAAAATGTGTTTAGAAAGTCGATGGTAAATGGGGGGGGGGGGATATCATCATGAATGTATTCCCATTCTCTATCAGACAAGCTTTTAATGCCATAGCATTTGATGAATTTTATTTATTCAACAATAATTGCAGAGATACGAGATTTGTTAATCCATTATGCTCAGCTCCTTTTATTCATTTCTGTTAACAGAAAAACCCATTCTCATAGAGTCTGCTGGTAGTCAACGCTGCTTGAATTTGAAGTTGAATGAATCCAGCCACCCGAAATGGATCGATACATAGATTTTCCTGGCATTCTTGATTATGCTGCCAGGTTTATTAATTTTTTGTTCGCAAGATCTCAATAGAAGCATAACAAACACATCCACGGTACGAGCTAACGTGTGACTGAGCAATCCAAGTTAATGAATCACATATCTGCATGCGGAAGTAATGCATCTTGAAATAGAAGCATTTTATACAAAAAATTCACAATGGACAGAGTTCTTGAAATGTTAACAACTGACCTCTACCGACCTTAGAATTTTTATTGGGTAAGTTCATAAATCATAATTCGAATGGAGAAATTGTATTGTTAACATGGAATGACCTAGATTGATGCTGTATATGATACATTGATAGGTTGGCAACGCTTGCTTGTATTATTTATAGATATGAATAATTATATAATGTGCATTCTTTTTATATATATGCAGCGGTATTTATGAATATACATGCACATTCTTGTAATAATGGCGAATGGATTAACACTAGTTATAAGGAAATATACAAGGTATCTGCTAATGTTGCCAGTTTGATGGGATATTGATTAAAACTCGCAGGTAAATGTACAGAACTGAAGCTTGCTTGGTGAGTGTAAAAAAATAAGAAAATAAAAATCATTCTTGTTGCTTTACTTAATATTATTAACCTTTAATGCCTATTACGACTGGCGAAAGCAAACCTTCAAGCATACTAGTACGGAAAATATTTTCTATTTTTAAAATATAAGCAAATTAATTGTATCAAGATTCCTAGATGTATTTTTTTTTTTTGGAAAAAAGACATTTGTAACAATGCGAAAGGTTTCTCCAGAAACATGCTATCTTTTAATTATCTTTTAAAAATTAACAATTGTATTCAATTGGATCATTGATTATTGCCGTTGTATCAACTGAAGGTTTCTTGAAGTGTTTTAAAGGTAAATTTGTGTATGTATAAATGGTTCTCAGAAATTATACCTGAAATATCAAAAGCCCCCCCCCCCCCCGTGTTAAAACTACTCCGTCTCCTAGACTGTAAATAGCATCTTTTAAATCATTTTATAATTTAAGCTTAGCTATAGCAAACAACAAAATTATTATATTAAGGCTTTGAAAAGTATTTTTAAATTAAAAAAATTACGTCAGTAATAAAAAGAAGCACCACAGTATTGAAAATATTCCGAATCTAATACAAAGAGTTCATATCATTAACATTGCATTCACTTCTAATTCTTTTTTCACATCTTTTTTTACATCATATTTTACTAGGAAATCAATACTTTAAACCCTTTGGGACTAAAAAGTCCAAGAATACTCCTAACGTTTTGTTTAACGTCATTAAGCATGTTACCTTTACCTCTGGCTCTGTATTTTGATGTTTAAGTCCTTTGTTGGTCTCTTAACTTCTCTACAGCAAGTTTAAAACTGAAATTGCTATTAGAACTCTTTTTCTGGATAAAGAATTTCCTTTGAATGCTTCATTTTGTTTTAAATCAATGAATAGGTTTTTTTTTTTTTTTTATCGGGTCTTTATATTGTTTACATGCAGGAGGTTGGAACGGTAGAGCACACTTCCATAGTGATGAAGATTTACATAATTATTTAGTTGTTAATTTTGCTTGTTGAATAAACTTTTCAAATACAGTTAATAAAATTGTGTGTTTTATATCAGTGTACATAATGATAAAGAAAAAATTAAGGAAAAAGTACTTTGTAGTTTTCAAGGAAATTAAGATATTTTCACAAGATATTCTAGTATACAAACTGCTTTAATAAGTACAAATACCATATAAAAGTATAATGCAGCTTTGTTATGGATGCTTCTATAGTTTTGTTGATGTTTTGTTGTAACAGAGGCAGTTTTTGGTACAAGATGAAAATTACTTGGACCCGACGTAATAGTTAATATTCAATCAAGAAAGGTTTTCCATCATATCCCGACACGAATGGATAGCAAAATTGTATCCAAAAAGTAGTTATGGCACTTTTCAATATACATATATACATACACTGCGTTCGCTACATGTATCAATTATTTCGTTATATTTCCATTTAACGCTCTCCTCGTGCAATCAGTATCTCGATTGAAACATTTTGGTATGAATATTCATATTTTTTAAGCATTTGGTTATCGTTTTTATGTCAGAAAATCATGAACCAGAAGCACAGATCTTAGGAGTGACAGGTTTCATCTGTACCTTTAGAATCTGTGTCAAAGTTCATTATCCTGCTAGAGAGCCCAAACTAAGTTCAGTCAAGTTGTACCAATCAACAATGACAGCGCATATTCCCCCAAAGGAATCCGATTCATTAACGTTTTGCATTGAATCAATAAATCATTCTTTCTTGCTGTACTCTTTCGATTTTCAGTCCATAAAATAAAATGAGGAATCCTCACTTTTGGGATATTTTCGTAGGAGATAGCCTTCAGGAGGAAAAAATGCAGCACAATTTGAGATCATGAAAATTTGATTAAGGCCTGTTTTAGCCCCGAGTGTGTAGGCTTTTTATGGCTGCGTAATTTAGTATATTTCCTTCTTATTCTTGTTATCACAGTTTGGTATCTGTACCTTTCTCTTAGTGAATTCTTTTTTCCAAAATGCTATAGATAATTAAATTGAAATGCTACATATAATTTAATTGATAGAACATATACATGGCCGTAGGAACCGGGGAACACGAGAGAAAACATAGCTATTATATGCTTGTGCCCCCTCAATTAAAACGTCTGATGACCTTTTTTCTTGCTTGTCAAGGAATTTTTGGTAGTTGATAGTGCCGCCTCAACTGAAAATGTATAGCTGTGCCCCCCTCCCCCCCCCCCCCCAAACTAAAATTGCTTCCTACGGGCCTGATATGACAGTAACAAAGTTAGAAATATCAAAGTTTATTCTACAGTGATCATATATGACATAAATTGCTGATTTGCAACAGAAACTATTTCAAAACTTTTAATGCTAACCATTTCAAATAATGGTTAGAAACGCTACAGAATATGCAATAATGTTCGGTCGATAGGATTTTCATTGTTAAAAATGGCTGCCATACATCTATCAGTTTCAAAAGCATAAAGTTGCGGCGCGTTATTGATTTCTACTTCAGACACAGAAAATTTTCCTGTATTGATAGACCAAAAATATGCCAGCAGACGTGTCAGATGTAATCTTACTATGTTTCTGATTCATAATTATTGTTGCAGTGATGGATGTGATTTCCAATATGGATGGAACACCATTTAAAATTCAATTTCTATTGTAGAATTGAATATCATTAGTTAAAGATGATGTCGAGGGAAAGTGAGGATGACGACCAAATCACGGACTTGGAAGTTTCTCATGCCGAAATGAGAGCCATGTTATGGGGCAGGCAACGAGAAAAGAGTGTTAGTGATAATTCAGTGTCGTCCAAAGCAGACGATCAGGTGACGTCACATCGAGCTGAGAGAGCGGCAAGTCTCAGCGAAGAATGGAAGGAATTAAAGCGACTTCGTAGTACAGAGGGACAATCAGAAAATTTAAACATGGGGCAACACAAAACACAAAGTAAGCTTTCGGTTTGGAAAAACTTTATCGCCTTATGTACTGGATTGATGTTTGCTTTTATGTCCTTCTTACCGCTTCGAAATATTCAAACAAGCATATTTCCAGAATATTATCTAGGCACAATATCACTTGGTCTAATTTATGGTAGTTTTGTGATTGGTTGTGTTGTTTCCCCTTGGCTTGTCCAAAATGCGCGTCCAAAGGGATTGATATTATTTTCTTTGATCTCACACGTATTTTATGTGACATCAAACTTGTTTCCATCTGTATGGACACTTCTTCCTATGTCTGTTGTATTTGGATTTCTTCAGGCCCCTTTATGGTCTGTACAAGAACTCTTAATTGGAAGTTACGGTACAAGTTATTCTTCCATCACTGGGATTAGAATAGAACGTTCCATTCATCAATTTCAGAGCGTTTTCGTCGTATTTTGTCATTCTGCTCAGATTTTTGGTAATTTGATACAGAGTGTTACGTTGAGATTTGATGAAAATTACACCCATGCCAAAGTTTCTGCTTACGAAACACATATATCCACCTGTAACTCTTCCCTGTGTGGGGATAGTATCCATACGTCATACGATGAAACATTTGGAGAAAAAATTCTGCGTTACTTTGTGGAAGATTTCGACAGACCGGACTACTTACAAATTTTGAAGCTACTTTATTTGTGGCTGGCTTGTTGTTCAGTGATTCTTATAGGATGTTGTTTAAGAAAGCCAGATATTATCATCAATAAGAGAAAAACACCATTTTGGGATAAAATCTTCGATGTTCTGAGCTTTTTCAGAACCAGGACCTTTCTTATGCTTGGATTGTTGATGGTATTTACCGGTATGCAGCAAGCCATCGTTATCAGTGACGTCACAAAGGTAAGAAATACATGGTACATCCTTCTGACATGGCTGCAACATCATACACACATATCTTTAATTAAAAAAGTTGACGACTGAAGTTCGTGCTTTTAATTAGACCTAAAGAGCTTACCAATGATTAATTAAAAACACAATATTCATTACAAAAAAAAGTTTAGACCATTCCCTATGAATGGAATCCTTTTCAAAAATAAAACATTTTAAATGAAAATATGATTTATCATATTCTTACACGAAAAAACAGTTACAAGATAGATCATGATGATCGTATTTATTTAGACCGAAGAATAATATATCAATTTATCAATTTAGTTTAATATTTAACAAATTTTGTACTTGGAGGAAAAAAATGTAAAAATATCCCGAAATTAGTCTTATATGTCAATTAAAGCGAAGATCATAGGTATAATCAAGAATGTATTATTTATCAAAAACATAAAAGGCTGGCTTTATCTCGGTAACTTCCCTATTTAATTATAGTAAACGGTGTTACATGAAGGAGGTAAATTGCGGAAGTCTCCTACTCATATTTCACGGAAATATCAATTGCGATGGTGCAAAATAATTGGTGACAATGTTTGCCAAGTCAACACAAAAGGACCAATTACGTTATTTTGATTACTAAGGATTCTCTCTCTTCCTCTCTCTCTGTTTAGAAGGTGTAGAATTTTTTCAAGTTCAGCTTACCATGCATATGTAGTTTCGAAGGCTCTTTACTGAATTTTGAATAAACTTTCACATCAGAGCAATTCTTCAGTATCTTTTCTTCATGTATTGAAATAAATGTTTCTATGACAATTTGTACCCAAGAATTTTCTCAACAACTTAAAAAATATTTTGACAAAGACATTTATATGGAAAGTCACATGTATAATACTTGTAAAGTAATAGCAATTAAAAGAATGAAGAGTATGTTGGTTGCATCTTTTACCAACATAAATGCTTTTACAGGAGTCATGCGTGATAACTTAGCGATATATTGCATTCTTAGCTAAGCATACTAATATTACATGTACATTAGCAGAAAAACAAAATCTAAAAAACCTTTATAGAGAATTAAAAGAAAAGTCGTTGTTCGTTAAATCATTCAATTGCATGAGCACTTAATGCAATTGAACGGAGATAGATCTCCAGTGTTGGACAAAAAAGGAAATAAAGATTAAATTTAAACCTTTTGATATATCAGTTAACATTAAAATATAGTTACTGTAAAATATGTATAACATGCCATAATCTTAAAAGTATTGAAGAAATGAATTAGTTTGAAAAACGGCATGTACAAACTTTAGTAGACACAATCGACCAATTTCTAGGTACTTAAACACACCTTTTTTGAGCAAGTCCCCGAAATAAATATCCCATTTATTGACAGTATGTCTACCAAAAATGAGTAAAGATGTAGATCTTTCCGTTAACTTAAACCCACTAATACATAAAAAGTTTTGATAACACATTCATATATATTTCATGAAAATATTTGAATTTCGGGTATTCGAGATCTAGAATCAGTATCACAGAATTCCAAAGCTTGTTTTAAATTGCATGGCCCAGCGTTAAAATATCGATCTGACTGATAAAAAATAACCATCTCTCTCTCTCTTTCTTTCTCTGGTTCAATTCTAATTCCATTTGCATTTATTCCCCAAACTATGATTTTTGTTAACCAAATTTTTCATAAAAATATTTCATTTCAAAACATCAGAATATTGCATTAAAAACTTAATTAACACAGTAGTTGATTTGGCTTTTATACAATCGAAGCTATGGGCTATGGACATACATGTGTATTTAAGTTCAAATTCTACTTTTAGTTTTCAAAACCAGGTTATAATATTTGACATTCCAGTGGTATTATTGCTTTTTATCCAAATCACCTAGGTGTAGAAAATAATTTTCTCAAAAATTATGAAATACTGTATAATGATTTTAGTAGGTAATCCTTGGCATACATTCTATGACCTCAATTTACAAAGGTGCTAGTGTATGATTGATTGTCAGAAGGTACCATAATTTATTTTTTTAATTTTGTATTTAAATCATGTTCTAATTGACTGGCCACATCGATTATTTGCCAGTAAACATGATGCTCATGGGTTTTGACGATCACCTGGCTCCGGAGCCATAAAACTTAGACGAGCTCACTTTTGATCTCGCTTTAACAAAAGGAATATACTGTATACAGGGAAATTTTCGCCCCAGTTTTATTTTCGCCCCGTTTGCCCGACTCAAAGGAGGGCGAATTTAAAACGGGATGAATTCGAAGAACACGAATTTAAAACGGGGCAAAATTGTTTGAATATGTGAGAGGGCGAAAATAACGCGGGGCGAAAATAACCCTGTATACAGTATAGTGAAAAAGTGAGGCTGAAATCAAGTGAGCTCATCTACGTTTTATGACCCCAGGGCCTGAGTGTCATGAGTTTTTCAGGCTGTGACTAATTTCGTCCCAACCTATATGTTTTCTAGTACATCAAAGATGTACATGTATACTTTCAATGTTTGACCGACTTAGCGTCCAGTGGGGTTTGAACTATGTTCTCTGAGGCCATGATTTATATAATTTTGGTAGAGGATTATGTGTAAATAATAATTATCAAAACAATTTGTCTGCTAGATGTCCATGAGGGGAAAATGTGTTCAAAGGTTTAAAGTACTCGTATTTTCGATATACATGTATAACTTAACAACCCCGTCCTCTTGCCTGACTGCTTGGGGCCAGAGGGCATCAATTTAAAATGTAGATCATAGTAATCATGAAATAAGTTTGATTATTATATGTCCTTTAGCGAAGAAAATTTTGAAAGATGTACTGTATTTAAAATATACAACTGCTATAACTCTATCTAAAGCTTTAGTCTGGACCCAATTGAGAGCCATTAATTTTGCAATTTTACTAAAAAGGCTAGTAACTCATTGCAATAGTGCAAGCAGTTTGAACTGCATGCTAGAGAAGATTTTGGAAAATCTAATGGACGTATTTTAATATATAACTACTGATAGAAAGCTAAAATATTTATTATAATCATGCAAACAGTTTGCCTGCTAAATATCAATGGAAATATAAGCTAAATTAATTATAAAATTCATCGAGAAAAGAGCAAGAACCACTTAGGGCCTCTTTTGGCCCTGAGAATTTTGGAAAAATCGAAACTGCTCAGTTTTGGTTGAAAATGCAGTATTTATCACTTGGACCCTTGGTGACCATGTATCTATTGAACATGACGTAATTTTCTCTCTAGTCAATGTATTATGACGTCATAAAATGCGTCATTTTCCTCATATCCTGTAAATTCCTTTAAAAATGGCCAAAAGTTAAAGTATTTTTTCAATATTTCATATAGAGCACAACCTCTGATCCAAAATATGCAATTACATAAAGAATGATCTGTTTCTTAAGATCATAAAACATGTTTTAATTTTTGGATCGTGGGTTGTGCTCATATTTTAATTCTTTGCTGAAGATAGTCAAATACGCATGTTTTCTGCAAAATTCAAGAACATTGCATTTTCTAATAGACTGATATCCAATACCTGGATTCTCAAAAAGAAATTTTGTTACAGGAAATGAAAGAACAAAGGTTGTTTTATATTTTAGATGTACGGCACGGACACATTGGGTATGGGGATGATAGGGTACCTTATGATGTGTTACGGCACTTCACAGTTGGCTATGTTACTGGTAATCGAAAAGCTACAGAAAAGACTCAAGTCTGTGTTTTTTGTTCTTCAAGGTAAGGAGACACAATAAGAATTGTTATGAATAGTTTTCATACTGGTTAAAACAAGCTGAGAATAGGTGTTAATAATTTTATCAAGCATAAGAAGAAAAAAGCTCATAAATTGTCTTATTTATATACTTGTAATATAATATTGGGTAATGTAAATTTAAAAAAAAAATAATTTTCTGAAAATGAAGAGAATAGAAATAATCCGATCCTGAAGAAAAAATTATGTTATTAATTTAGCAGCAGCTGTAAAGATAATTCACTACTGAATTGATTTCAAATAGGAAAAAATATTATTATTTGCAGATTTTTGAATTAATATTTCAGTATTTTACATGTATCTACTTTATAAATTGATGAAAAGTGTTTCATTACTTAAGCAACTATGATGTGCTATTCGATGAGCCTTCGACGACTTGTACAAGTAGCAAATAGAGTGAAAGGGAACAATGATACCGGGATATTTTCTATATTTTTTTTATGAAATGAAAATTTAAGGGGACTTCTTCCCTCTGGCTTTTCGTGTTTGACACAACTTTCGCCAGAGAACGAAGTGTGTTTCTGGCTAATGTTTCATTCTAAAATAATACGTCCCTTGCACTATATAGTAGTGAGATTTTCCCCAACATCAATCTTTCCACAAAGAAATTGAGGTCACTGTTGAGGATGCAAATAAGACCCGCCGAAAACAGAAAAAAGTATTTCGTGATAAAAGAGCCGTATATCGATTAACCTAATGAATTTAGTATCGATTGAAGGGTTATGTGTTAGATAGTTTGCCACCTATAATAAAATTATAAAACATTTATCCATTGACTTTATTGGGTTTTTACTTCAACCTTATACTTGTGATGGTCATTAGCCTCTTCCGGATCTTTTAATTTTACAAATACACAAATTTCTTTCAGGTATGATTTTTGTTATTTTGGAGTACTAGTCTATGTGAATTTTTGAGAAAAGGGCGTGAGACAAAATGTTAGACGTTCATCAGTTATAAGGCTTGATACTCAAGTAACGTCACAACCGCTATAAAATCTTGAAGAATCGGAAGTCATCAAAAAAAATTTACATCCTTTTTCTTATACCCTTTTCTATTTTGAATGTTACCTAAAATCTTATTCCCGATCATGACAAGGAGCACACGGCGGGTGTGCCGGTCGGCAGGGAATGCTCACTCCTCTATGGCACCTGATCCCACCTCTGATATTTTTATTATTCCCAACAACCAACATGAATTAGAATTACATGTACCATATCTATATTGGATTCCGAAACATAATAAAAATCCTTACAAACAAAGGTACATAGAGGGTTCCAGTAAATGTTTTACCAAGCCTCTTCTTTACTCCTCACTAAAATATTAACAGTAGTAAAGGAGAAACTTCAGGAGTACTTTGCAGCAATATATTCGAGAGGTGGTGTAAATCAGATGTGGATATTCAAAAATTCCAAGGGACTTTTGGAAAATTTGAAATCACAAATTTTACCAAAATCAACAACATAAAAACTTATGACTTTTCGACTTTATATACAACCATTCCCTAAGATAAATTAAAATCCAGGCTTTTTGATATCACTGACAGCTGTTTTTTCAATATAAATTGAACTCGTAAATTTGCTTACCTTGTCATTGGTCATTTGCAAAATTATTTTGTTAAAAAAATTCTGATTGTACGCACTAGTACTCTTAAGTTGATATTAAAAAGATGCTTGAGTTTCTGATTGACAATATCTATGTGGTTTTTGGAGACCAGGTCTTCCAACAATCTATTGGGATTCCCATGGGTACCAATTGCGCCCCGTTGTTAGCAGACCTATTTTGTATTCATATGAAGCAGAATTTGTTCAAAATCTTATACGTGAAAAGACAAAAACACTTGCTGTGGCCTTCAACTGGACATTGCTTTAAAATTTTCATATTTTTTAAAATTATTTTTAATGCTCTTTTGTTAGTGAGCGCTTTATTTTTATTTATTTATTTGGTAAATTATTGTTAATTTAAACCAACTTTTAATTGCGTGCGAGAAATATCCGCGAGTTTCGTTACATTGCTCTTTTTTGGCGAATATTTCTTGCGGTGAATATTACTTATTTCATTCTATATTTATGTAGAGTATTTCCTCTGTCGCGAAAATTAGTCCTTGTGGATAGATAGAAACTGTCAAATCGCGGATACATCGTCTATATTGTCGGACTCGAGTAATTGACATTAAAGGTTGGTTAATCGACGCTACACGAGAAGAAATTCGAACAATGGAATGAATATGGAACAGTTTCAATGATTTTGAGAATAAAATACATGTAATTCAAGGCACAAGTTGCAAGTGCAGATAACATAAAACGTGTGTCACGGATATTTAATAGCTTTGTACATATGAATGAACAGAAAATAAGTGACGAAAAGTAACGTCAAAAATGCTTAGATGATGTTGGCGATAAATGAAAGCAAAAGTTATGTTTTTTAAGGAGGCTGGGGGGTCCACAAATTAACCATCAGATATAACTTATTTTTTTTAGATATGATATCTTAAGCTGTCAACTATCATTTGGCAAACAAAAAATTCATACATTTTAGTTTTAAACTTTGATCATATATGGAGCTACAACCACCCAGCACTCTTAATATTTCAAAAAGTATGCCATATATCTGATGGAAATTTTTATGCAACATTGAAAATACAGGTAGAAGAATCAATATGTTCCATTTTGTGGATAATTTAAGATTAATATATAGCAGTTGTAGCATTCCTTTTGGATCAGCACTTATATAAACTAATAGGATGTATAATCAAAATAAGAAGCATTAATACGTTAGATGTGAAAATATGAATTGAGGTATAAGATTAATTCACATACCGGTATTGAAAGAAAATTTCAGTGTGTCAATTTGGCATCAAAAAGTATTGCATGAAATTTATTTATGTTTTGCTAGAGGTGAGCATTTAAGTCTTGTCAATTTAGCAACAACAAAAATGAAATTAATCACAAAAAGAAATTAATTCGTATATTTGAAATTTGTGTATTAAACAACCTAGACAAATCTAGTGAGGGGAAAGCATTACATTTTGGCATTATTTTAATACCATAGAAAATGGGCAATAACTCTGTAAAGCCATTCAAATTTTTCCGGAAATAATTAGGAGAAAATTGCTTATTTTTTAAAATAGCATGATCTGGTTTAAAATGTTTTGAGACTATCTTATAGTGAAATATGGAGATAACGAACATTATTCAAGCTAAAAATCCATTTAAACAGTACAAATCGGAAGCAGAGCAAACACGAACCTCCAAAAACATCAGAGGTGGCATCAGGTGCCATGGAGGAGGGAGCATCCCCTGCCGACCTTGTCATGATTGGGAAATAAGGGTGACTTTAAACGAGAATGTTGATATTCTTGTTTCATCAACTTTTATGTCAATAACCTACCTCATTTTAGAAATTGTTCATACGTAGAACATGCCCTTGAGTATCGAATGAACTGAGAGATATGTACCCCATATGCAGGTTATAAGGGTATATTGCTGCATAAGTAGGGGAAGTTGACGATTGAAAATTTAAATTATCATAAAGCTTTATCGTTAGATTACCTTTAACGTTTTTTTTCTAGTAAAATATCAAGATATGAAACAGATGTGTCTGATTCTGTGGTATCTTTTATTTCAAGTTCACTGGGATATATAGTGTCGACATATGAATGGAAATGACCATTGTTAATCTATAATACGTCGTCGATATATCTAAATGTCGAGTTGAAGGCCACAGCAAGAGATTTCTATTCCTCATATATAAGATTTTGAATAAATTCTACTTCATATGAATACAAAAATAGGTCTGCTAACAACGGGGCGCAATTGGTAACCATAGAAATTCCAATAGATTGTTGGAAGACCTGGTCTCCAAAAACCGCTAGATATTGTCAATCGGTAATTCAAGCATCTTATTAATATCTACTTGTGTACTTGTGTGTACAATCGGAATGTTTTTAACAAAAGGATTTTGCAAATGACAAGGAAAGTAAATTTACGAGTTCCATTTTTATTGGAAAAAACCCAGCTGTCAATGAAGTCAAAAAGCCTTGACTTAGTTTATCGTGGGGAATGGATGTATATAGAGTTGAAAAGTCGTAGGTTTTTATGTTACATGTATTGATTTTGGTAAAATTTGTGATTTCAAATTTTCCAAAAGTTCCTTGGAATTTTTAAGTAACCACACCTGATTTACACCACTTCTCGAATATAATGTTGCACAGTACTCCTGAAGATTCTTCTTCACTGCTGTTAATATTTTAGTGAGTAGTAAAGAAAGAGGCTTGGTAGAACATTTACTGGGACCCGCTGTGTATCTTTGTTTGTAAGGACTTTTATGAAGTTTCGGAATCCAAGATCATTTATTCACATAGAAAATATAAATGAATGGTTTGCATTTTATTTTAATTTTTTTTCATCATTTTTGGAAGGGTGTAAATTAAAAAAAAATTAGCAGTTAATATAGAGTTTAAGGAAGGAGAAAAAATTACTTCAGATTATGTTTTATTCTGAAAAAATAATTTCATATATTATCTCAATACTAAGTGCAGTGAAAAATAAATACATGAAGAGGTTATAGACAACACTTATCCAATATTTTGATAATTAACCACAACCAGCATTATATTATGAAGAAAAAAGCAACGAACACCCCGCCTAAGTGCATGTATCTGTAATAAATTTTTGCGGTGTATAAAAATTTTCAATTACATCTAAAAATGCCATCCCATGTAGTTTATTTTTACATGTACTTTATATGTTCGAGATGGAAAAGTGTACTAAGAATTGAATTCAAATTCATCGTAATAACAAGTATGTGCCCCCTTTTCTATTGTAATTTATGTAGAAAGTTGATGACCCCAAAATAATGCTCTCTACTCTTCAAATATTGTTAGATTTTTTTCAGCATTTATATTTTATGAGTACTACAATTTATTTTTTACTAAACATTTTCTGTCGCAATAAGTTTTTATGTTAAACAATAAATTGACAAGACTACTCTTTTAATTCACCATATGGGAATTTAAACAACAGCGTTTTAGGCAATGCCATTTTTGTGTTATCAAATAGAATTACTAAATTCTTTCCAAGAAAAATGAATAAATTTTCCATTTGAAATCCTATAAAAATCAACATTAAAAAATGATGTTTGAAATCACTTATTTTGACCTTTTCGCAATCTGTATGATGAACTCAAAGATATGGACATTTATAATTAGACCTTAAACAGCTTACATTTTGACATTTATACAATGAAATTAGATGATCATAAATTGCATTAATTCAATGCACAGTGATAGATAATTTAGTCTCTCTTTTTTTTATTAAGGATTCCTGGTCACACAGGGTCTTCTCCTAGTGCTGTATATATGGGAGCCACACTCTGACTCCGTTTACAGTATCCTGGGATTCATGAGCCTTTGGGGAGCTCTCGACGCCGTTTGGCAGTCTCAAGTACAAGGTGAGATCATAAACAATTGTTCCCAAAGTGACTTTCATTCATGTTATTACAAAACTAATCACTTGTATGGGCATCTATCCTCCACTTACATTAGCAATTAACTATATGCCATGACTCAAACGTCTGAATGCGTAAATAATTTGTATTTCTGAGGTTGTTGTCTCTATTCCGGGGCTAATTTAGGGAAAAAGACCTGGCGGCCTAGATGTCGAGAGCAGTTCAGTAATTCTAGTTTATGTTTAAATAAAATGACTGGATTATCTGCATAAATATACATCGAAATTTAACATTGATATGTTAACCACAGTAACGAACTGTTACTTGATTAATTGAACTTTCCGTAATAGTATCAGTAACTTGTCGGTTCACTCAGTAATTTTGTAGTCGATATTAGAGATATTGGGAGATTTTCTTGAAAATGATTGCATTGTTGCATGATGCTAGAATTATGGCAGCTATCCAAGAAAACAGAAACATTGTCCAACAAAAATTTTCCCTTTCCAGCAATTGATCGTGTCATTCTAAGTGAGTTGTGGGAAAATAAATGAGTTCCATTTAGAATAAAGTTTCCATCAAATCGGATTTTACAGGATAACGAGATCGCTGGAAATCAATAAATGAATTACGGAAACAGAAATTTATTGTGAAACATCATTTTATGGGATGTAAGTTCTTTTGATGTCAAACACAAAAGAAAATAATACTGTCCCGAAAATCTAAGAAATGTCTTTAACATGAAATTAGAACAAGAATGGTTTTTAATTTTTTTTTTTGAGATGATCATCAATGTACTTATGTTTTAAAATCTCTGTTTTACATCCTGCAGTTGTTTATAGTGTCATGACAATCTAAGAAATGGCTTTAACATGAAATTAGAATAAGAATGGTTTTTAATATTTTTTTTTATTGAGATGATCATCAATGTACTTACGTTTTAAAATCTCTGTTTTACACCCTGCAGTTGTTTATAGTGTCATGACAAAGTATTTAGCGTTTTCAAGAGTTATCAATCTTGTACCTTTATATCTTTTCTACAGAACCGAATGCTTGCATTAGACACGTTGTAGGCTTTAAGACAAACTACAGAATGTTATGTTTTATGAAAGTTTGTTTTATAAATCTTCGTATTTGAACATTGAAGAATATGTATTATTTTTACTTTTCCTAACCCTCTGCTCCCACTCATCGAGATAACAGATTATAAAACTCTTCACTTATTTGAGAAGCAGGAGCAATGTCCAAACACGGTGTTTCTTCATTTTATTGACATTAGGAAAATGTGTACACAGACACATAGTGCAAATATGATATTGAATTTCTAAAATGATATATCTTAAGATATATCTAATACATGTACATCAATCGAGCCTTGTTCATTTATTCTTTCTTTCGAATGTATCTTATTTCTGTTAAAGCAAAAACAAGTAAATTATTTTAAAATACATGCGTTTGTCGACCCCTCGAATTAAATACATTTACATGTATATTAAATGGTAAAGATGATGAAATCCGGGACAGGTTTAAACCCTATTGTCCGTATTGTATGTATGATTTTTTATTACATAATAGTTTAAGGTAGCTAGGTATTTTCAACCATAGTATTTTGTGTAATTATTCATAATCTTAATACATTGTAATCTAAACATTAGACAATCCAGATTCTTTGCAAATTAAGACAGAGATGAAATAGACTTGATATACTTTGTCAGTGTTTCAACTTTTAATATTTTACATTTATTGACTGGGTTCGAGGACAACATGCGTTTTGTCGGACCCAAGAACCAAAGGTCCGAGACGGTTAGGCCGAAGGCAAACAGTTTGGTTCGAGGGGTCGACAAAACGCATTTTGCCCGAGAACACAGTCAATAAGTGTTTTGCTATACATTTTATTTATTTATTTATTTATTGACATGCATTTTGTACTGGCTTCCATGATGTAAATTTTCGGTCAATTCTTTCACTGTCGAACATCAACGAATGAAAATAAGATTTAGTAGATCCCGCCCACAGTGTGACGTAAGCGGTCCAATTATCTCATCGACTGGTCAAATATCTCAGCCTGCGTTCAAACATCGATTTGTTTTATTATCGCTCAGTGAAAAATTAGATGTTACTTTATAAACTTTTTAATATAGATTTCTAAGGGAACCAATTTTTAAAGATATAACAATTTCTTTTATTATCTATTCAACTGAAAATGATTGCGTCGCATCGGAAAGACGTTTGTATTTATATATGCCTTGAGTTTCGTACATTTTATCCATAACAGAAAACATCTTAATTTTTTTCAAAACTATCTGCCATTTCTCTCCTCAAATTTCAGGTATATTGGTGTCGTCTGCTGTCCGCAAAGAGCCTGCCGTAATTTGTTACAGAGTGTGTCAGGGTTTGGGACTATGTGCTGTCTTCTTCTCTTCAATGGTTCTCACGCTCCTGTACAAAGTGTGTCTAATTGGATCCACCCTTGTGTTAGGTGTCATTGGGTATCTCATCATGGAGGTATCTAATAATCCAGTAACACCTATAGAAAATAGAGCATTTAATGTTTAGTTAACGATGTCTTTTAAATGTGCATACATTTTCGTATTCTTGAAGTATTTGTTCATTTGTTATGGATTCAAAACACGCTAATACAAAAAGATACCATTGGCAATATACTACATATATCTAGAAGTTTAGCACTAAACGACAAAAAGATTTTCACCTGGGGAATTGTTTTCAATTAATACATGACCATTGTTCTATCAAAGTCAGCATTTTCTGTAAAAAAAAAAAAAAATCAATGAAATGCGTTGCACAAAAATTGTGTATTAAGTTTCTAAAAATACGTAGCTTACTAGTATTAAGTTTTATACAAATAAATGTATGTTATTACTTGTAGATTTTTAAGAGATCAATTCCCTAGTAGATCTTTATTTCATGCCTTTATTTTCCGCTTATTAGCTCAATATTTATGAGGAATTTTCTACTTTATTAATTTTTAAGCAAGCAATTTATTAATTTTTTTTCTGTACTTTTCTATAGGCTGTAAATATTTTATTTTGCTGAAAATCGTACATCTTTCAAAGCAAAATTGAAAAGTTTGTATAAACGTTAAAAAGAGCCGCTTGTGTGTCATTAATTGTATTTTCGTGGGTTAGATGACAGTTTAACTGAATAATTTTGTGGAAATAAAAGCTGCAACTGCTAAGAATATTTGGAATAGTGATATGCATTGTTAACCCATTGGAGATGTATTGTTGTGTAATCCTGTGGTATTTTTTTATGTTCTGGGTGAGACATGTGCAAAATTCACAACCGATAGTTATATGTTGTAAAATTGCATTTACCTCCAGTCAGTTCAAAATTACATGATTATATATCTGTGTATTGATTTTGAAAAGAAGATTTTTGGGATCCTTTTTTAATGATTTGAACTGGCGCATTTTTTTAACATTAACAAATATTTTGTCATTCAAGATTGGTTAATTTTAAGGAATTTTGTGACGTACAGGTGTAATTTAGACTGGATAAAACAGCCAAATTTTGTAGCCCGACGTTTTTTGGTCACATTTAAACACAACGTTCAGAAATGTGCAATGCTTTGTGTCATCTTTGAATATCAGTATCTTTTCAGTCATTATACAGACATTTAGATTTGTATAGCTTTAATTAATTTATAAAATATAATTTCTAACTTGCAACGAATTCATTATACTTTTAGCTTATTTTATGCAACTTTATTTAATCAATAAAAATATTATGTGTCATTTGAATTGAGCTGTTTTGAAAAGAACAAAAAATCACAGTAACAGGTATTTTCTTTTACTAAAAACCTAAGATAATCATAGTTTCCCCCGCTATTTTAACGAATTTTAAATTACAGGAAAAAAATAATCAACTTTACCATTCTCTTCCTATACTTAAAAGCATGTTTGTCCTGTTCATTGTCGTCTTCCTATGAGTTGATTAGAGAAACGTTCAGTACAATTTTACTCCTGTTAAAAAATGTCAGTTTTATGGTATATGTATAATTAAATCAATAATATAAAAGCATATCTGAAAAATGATCTAATTGCGCTGTAAATCAAACAAAGCGCTTGATTTGGTGAATCATTGCTTTCAGGAAAGATTTTATCTTGTGATTGAGCTCGATAACTTGTAGCTGAAGAGCTGGCAGATGATTTGTTTACCATCTCTACAATTATGTGCGTGATATTAATTCAGAAAATGTCGCCTGAATTATTATTCTCATTTAACACTTCTAATGGTATTCAAAATTCTCATTTACTCTGACTAAGAGGAACCCTTTTGACTGAATTTACTTTTAGAATTCATGTGACAATGAAATGCTTTATTCAATTTTTACTGCTTAATGTCCCTTCTTTACTCATAACCAATAGACTTTTTTAAATAGTGAAATTTAGCAGCTTTTACTTTCAGATGTAAGATTGTACGTATATCTCAAATCATATCCATATTTCCTAGAGTATTTCATTTGCACTCTTGGGGATTCAACCTTTTACATGTAAGTTCAGCGAAGACACTTAGTGTGTACTATCAACGGATGCTTACTCCTCCTAGGCACCTGATCCCACCTTTAGAATCTCCGGTGGGTACGTCCGTGTTTTATGCCTTGTTCAAAGATATGTATTGTTCGTAGATTTTTTCGAGATCGATCACTCTTCGTTTACTTCACCTTTTTCATTTTTTTGTTTATACTGTTGAATTTGAGAGATAATCCTCGGCATCCATTTTAGTTTGATATCTGAAGTATAGTAGGTGAACGAAATGCGTCTTTGTGTCTGTATATGTTATTTTTTTACGCTGAAAGTCAAGGGAAGATACAAACTGGAGAAAGTTTATTTGACTCAATATGTGCTAATTTGATTCAATTCAATGTTTTTTTTTTTACTTGACTATATCTCTACTATATAAATATAAAACGTATTTAAAAACAAGTAGACTGCTATTTTATTGATTTATTTAAACCCAAAGTGAAACTTTTATCAAAATAAAGACAAACCCTATGCATGACTTGCAGGCATTTACAGGAGTGGATCTCTGTAATTGACAGATTTGCAATAACATTTTAAATACATGTATGTACCACAAATGGAAGGAAAGCTGGTGAAAGATTGATCGAAAAAATTTGTGGACACAAGTCATCTTTATCCATAGGTTAAGAATGATTTTTATCATATATTTTGATCTGTAATGAACACTTTAAAGACATTATAAGAGAATTCAAGAATATTTACTGTGGAATCATTTTAATTAATGGGTTCAATGTTTGTGGGCAAGCAAAATTTGACTTGTTCTTGGGGACGTAATTTCGTGAGTTACTCGTTTATACGATAGATTCAATGAATCAATATGTATACAAAATAAACGTTTGTGGGGATGTAAATTCGTTGTAAAGGTTTGGTCCCTGGTGAACATTGGTCCCCCACGAACAATGATGATTCCACAGTATATACCATTTGTCATATGAAAGCGTTGTTTTAAGACATGTTTGGTAGGTAAGCCGCAACAAAAGAGAAAAATAACTGCAAGGGTTTCTTTAATTTTATCTCTGGAAAACGAAAGTTAGGCAATGTTTTAAAAAAATATTTGTAATTCTTTTGTTTAAATGTATATGGTAATGCTCTTCTCTTACTGAGTGTACAAATGTTTTCTAAATATCTTGAACTTTCCTCAGAACTGTTTTTGATTGTGTAACTATCTGCTCAAAATATCTGTGGAACTAGTTTACTTTGATTGACAATCGATTTAGCCATAGATTATTACGAAGTTGTAAGATAAAACAATAAATTGATTGCTTTCGATTTATTGGTTTATAATCAATTTTTGTTCCTCATGATGGATATTATAAAGATAGTATAAAACTTAAAACTCTTTATTTCTCTACTCTCACGAAAGAACAGAGTATATTTCATAAATCTTAAGCTGTATCTGGAGGGGAAAAGGTCAATAAATTTAGGCTAACACTTCGAATCACAAGGAGACAGATATAATGACCACATAATAAACTAATGATTTGAAAAGATATTTCCTAAATATAAAAAAATGGATAAATAAAATATCAGATACTGAACACAAAGATTATCAGATATTTTTTTTTCCCACTTTATGAATAGTACATTGAAAACATAAACCATTATTTTCAAATATACACGAACAATATAAAAGTTATTAAGGGTTAAAGTTTTGTTGATCTTGTGGTAAAATTATAAGGATGAAACAGAACCTGTTTTTTTTTTTAAATAAAATATCTATCTATAGAAAACGTCAAATTGTCAAATAATCAAAAGCCATTGGACCTCATATCTGTTCATATTACCCCCTAAAATTGATCAATAAAGATTTAAAAGATTACTGATGTACGTCATAAAAACATTAGGTACTTCTGAACTAAATTATATAACAATTCTAGTTCCATATACATGTATTACGTTAAAATATATACATTTGTGGTATCTCTCTATTATATAAACATGCAGAGAGCAAATATCTTCATACCTGTATGAAGTTTTTCGAAGGTCATAGGTCATTACGTGACCTAATCACACAGCGCAGTAATATCTACATACTCCACTAAGCAATATAGCATGTTTTTCATGCATAAAAATGTACAAAATACGCAAGTAAAATAATAATCATTTTATTTACAATGTAAACGAGTATTTAATACAATTCTTGATCGATTTTACATAGAGAATAGAAAACTACGTGTTATAAGTTTCATGTCTGAGCTGCATAGTCTCAACGTTTACCCTTATTTTTCTCGCAGACCTCTGAATGCTATAAATTTTTTTTTCATTAAACTTTACTCACAATAAATTTGAAAATCTGTTGAAAAATATCAATGTAATGCAATCACGCCACAAACAGCTGACAAACACTGCACTTAGGAAGTTCGGTAGGCACACCTCCATCATCGAGATCTTTGTGACGTTGTCTTAACAATGTAAGCTGTCGCCAGTGTCTCCATGTCAACATCATAAATTAATAAATATGCCTTACTGAAATCGTAGGTTTTATGTTTTTGATCAAATTTTTGACTTGATTTCAAGTTATCTGGTCAGGACAAGTGTCTCCATCCATCCCTTTCCGACCGAAATTCCTCCAACTTTTTATTATCAAACATCGGACGTGTTTCTTGTGTTTTTTAACATCGAATATGGGTTCTCATGAATACAAAAATTCCCACACACCAATATGCTCACTATAATTGATCACAAGTAGCCTTTCACAGAATATTCCCTTCAAAACAGAATCCTTTGCCAGATGAATTTGAAGCGTAACCGCTTTTCAAGCCGATTTACACCTAGCGTAATTTGTCAAAATCTACGACGCACAGTTAGTGCAATATTTATATTCGATTACACTCGATTGTCCGTCTCAAATGTATATATAAGTAATAAATAACAAGTTTAAAAACTTCAATGGGAATTGAAGTGGGTCGGTACGTGATCAAATCTTCTGAGAAGGCCTTCGGCCTTCACAGGATTTGATCACGTGACCGACCCACTTCAATTCCCATTGAAGTTTTTAAACTTGTTATTTATTTCTTAAGTAAAGGGACAGAACAAAAGTGATAGGTGTATTCTATGAGTAAAGTCTAATACACTCGACTTCCACTGACTTCAACATCATCTACGTTACTCTCCTTCTTGAGAATTGGATAAATGTCAATTTTCTAAATTTCTTTTTTTTTTCTTTTTTTTTTTTGGAGTAAATAGAACCTTTTATTATAGAATTATTACCACTTTGATCCAAAATACCAATAAAAGAGAGAGATGATAGATTTATATAATTCATTCACAGTAAGGACTTTGTATATATGTTATCATTTATTATTGTATTCATGTTTAAAAACATACTCTAAAGATGAAAAAAGTGAAAATAACGAACAATGTTCAATCTAATTTATCCTATAAACAATACAAACTGAGAAAATTGCAAAACGCAGACCCCGGACATCCAAGATACACCCGCTATGAACCCTCTGTATTAATCAGGTACAGGGAATTTTGATTCTGTCAAGTTTTCTAATTGTGAAACAATGAAAAGGGTTACATATCTTTTGAAAAAGTCATACTGAAATGATATACATGTACCAGTATCCTATGGATTCTTACCACAATTACTTCTGGGCAGTGATTTAAAGAAGCGTTTACAATTCAGTTGGAACATTTGCTGACTTATTTGTTAAAAACCCCAAAATCATTTGATTTTTTCTTTAAGTAGTCTACAAATTGAAAAGTAATTTTTTTTTTCTAAAAATACAGAATTAATAGGAGAGATATTATGAAATCATAAAGGAAACAACAGTCTTGCTTGCTATCAAAGATATATAAATCAGGCTTTTCTTATACATTATTGCAATAAAAATCAATATTTGGAATAATTACTTGACCAGTGCTTTGATAGATGAAATATTGAGATACCGAAAAATATTCAAACTCAAAGTCCATTAAAACAATACAAATCGGGAGCAGAGCAAACACGGACCTTCTAAACATCAGATGTGGGATCAGGTGCCATGGAGGAGTGAGCATCCCCTGTCGACCGGTCACACCCGTCGTGTCCTCCTTGTCATGACAGGGAAATAACGGAAAAATCCGTCGACAATTTAGTGTGTAAACAATGGTCTAACAATTACTATGTAAAACGTCAGCCAGCATATTACTTAATGATAGATTGTATTTGCTGACACTGTCATTGTATCGACCATAGAATTTACGAAATGATGA